ATGCAAAAGAAATGAACACTCCTTTTTGACTGATGAGTGGATTTTTTTGTTTGCAAGAGAATTTATACTGTTTACCATAATAAGAATTTAACTGCATTTTATTGCACTGCACTGCAATGCAATATCAATCAATAAAATGAAGTCCATTTTTTGTTTTACATTATGGTATTGAAAATAAGGTGTAAATCAACATATTTAATATTTTTCTAATAAATTTTTATTTTTAAAAAAGTGTTGAAAAAAGGACTGGATGGAATATTTTCATTCACATTTTCTTATATGATTCTTCTCTTTCATATGAATCTAAATTAACAATGCAGTAATAATGTCGAAGGATTGTTGGACAAATTTTTTCATTGCTGTTTATTATTTTATGCAACGCCTAGTTTGGGTATATGAAAGATTGAAAATGAGAGAAATCTCATGATTGACTGATGAGTGTAAATTTTGAGAGTGGTGCAGATAAGCACCAGGAAGGATAAACAGAATATATTCTGATAACAGTACTTAATAGAGCTAAGTTCTCATCAAAGAACAGTTATACGTTTGCTGATTTTTTTTTTATTGAAAGACTGATATGGATATATGCGAAACATCCCGAGGAAAATTGGAGTGTCGAGTGAAGTTAATTGCAAGCTAATTAATTTTGCTTTTAAATAAAAATATAACTGTCCTACAATACATTGCATTGTAATGCTTGATGTATTGTCTAATTAAAACATATACTTGGTCAATTTTTATTATTAGGCAAAACAGTGAAAAAAAACAAAAACTTTCCTGTTTGACTGATGAGTGAATATTTTGAGACTCAAACAAAGCGCTCATGACTTTGTAGAACAATCAAAGACGCTTTTCAATACTGCTTAGCAGTACTTGTTTAGTGAGATAAGCTCACACTAAGTCCTTTACACGCGACATTACCGTTATTTACTCAGACTTGAACACATGGCCATTTGTGAATGTCTGCCTAACGTCTTATATATAGTATACAAGCCTGTTACTCGTTAGCATTGCTTAAACATTTACATAAGATAAAGCAGAAATCAATGATCGTTTTGTCTACGTTGTTCAAAGGGACATAATTTGAGTTATCGAACTTTGAAACAAAACTTACATTATGCAAATTTCCAAAGAAACATTTAATCGCAAGGACAAATTGTATATAAAAGCTGTCTTTGGAGGGTGGATGGTGGGGAATATTTCTAACACATTGACAAGTAAAATAATTGTACTTGTTTAAATACAAGTAGAAGTGCACCATACTGCACTCTGCTGCAATACAATGCGATATATTGTGATGCCTGCCAAATTGTGCAATCAAAAGTAACTTAGTCAATTTTTTTTTCTTAATTGAATTAAAAAACTGATTGAATACACACACTTTTTTGTCATTTTATGCTTTGAAAAAAAAACGGTTTCAAAAATAGACTAGAGAACATTTCTTTTATTGTCACATTCTTAAATATTTGTTTTCCTTGATATAAATCAAAATTAACAATCAGTAATTAAGTCGATGGACTTTCGCAAAGTTACGTGTTGCTGGTTTTTTATCGAATGACTAGTTTGGGTATGCGCAAGTAGAACTGCACCATATACTGCACACTGCTGCAATACAATGCGATACATTGTGATGCCTGCCAAATTGTCCAATCAAAATTAAATTAGTCAATTTTTTTTCTTAATTGAATTGTAAAACTGATTGAATACACACACTTTTTTTTCATTTCATGCTTTGAAAAAAAAAAGTTTCAGAAAAAAGGGGTAGACTTAAGAGAGCATTTCTTTTATTCTCATATTCTTAAATATTTTGTTTTCTTTGATATGAATCAAAATTAACAATCAGTAATTAAGTCGAAGGACTTTTGCAAAGTTACTTGTTGCTGTTTCTTTTTTTTATCGAATGATTAGTTTGGGTATGCGCAAAAGATGCAAAAGAAATGAACACTCCTTTTTGACTGATGAGTGGATTTTTTTGTTTGCAAGAGAATTTATACTGTTTACCATAATAAGAATTTAACTGCATTTTATTGCACTGCACTGCAATGCAATATCAATCAATAAAATGAAGTCCATTTTTTGTTTTACATTATGGTATTGAAAATAAGGTGTAAATCAACATATTTAATATTTTTCTAATAACCTTTTATTTTTGAAAAAGTGTTGAAAAAAGGACTGGATGGAATATTTTCATTCACATTTTCTTATATGATTCTTCTCTTTCATATGAATCTAAATTAACAATGCAGTAATAATGTCGAAGGATTGTTGGACAAATTTTTTCATTGCTGTTTATTATTTTATGCAACGCCTAGTTTGGGTATATGAAAGATTGAAAATGAGAGAAATCTCATGATTGACTGATGAGTGTAAATTTTGAGAGTGGTGCAGATAAGCACCAGGAAGGATAAACAGAATATATTCTGATAACAATACTTAATAGAGCTAAGTTCTCATCAAAGAACAGTTATACGTTTGCTGATTTTTTTTTATTGAAAGACTGATATGGATATATGCGAAACATCCCGAGGAAAATTGGAGTGTCGAGTGAAGTTAATTGCAAGCTAATTAATTTTGCTTTTAAATAAAAATATAACTGTCCTACAATACATTGCATTGTAATGCTTGATGTATTGTCTAATTAAAACATATACTTGGTCAATTTTTATTATTAGGCAAAACAGTGAAAAAAAACAAAAACTTTCCTGTTTGACTGATGAGTGAATATTTTGAGACTCAAACAAAGCGCTCATGACTTTGTAGAACAATCAAAGACGCTTTTCAATACTGCTTAGCAGTACTTGTTTAGTGAGATAAGCTCACACTAAGTCCTTTACACGCGACATTACCGTTATTTACTCAGACTTGAACACATGGCCATTAGTGAATGTCTGCCTAACGTCTTATATATAGTATACAAGCCTGTTACTCGTTAGCATTGCTTAAACATTTACATAAGATAAAGCAGAAATCAATGATCGTTTTGTCTACGTTGTTCAAAGGGACATAATTTGAGTTATCGAACTTTGAAACAAAACTTACATTATGCAAATTTCCAAAGAAACATTTAATCGCAAGGACAAATTGTATATAAAAGCTGTCTTTGGAGGGTGGATGGTGGGGAATATTTCTAACACATTGACAAGTAAAATAATTGTACTTGTTTAAATACAAGTAGAAGTGCACCATACTGCACTCTGCTGCAATACAATGCGATATATTGTGATGCCTGCCAAATTGTGCAATCAAAAGTAACTTAGTCAATTTTTTTTTCTTAATTGAATTAAAAAACTGATTGAATACACACACTTTTTTGTCATTTTATGCTTTGAAAAAAAAACGGTTTCAAAAATAGACTAGAGAACATTTCTTTTATTGTCACATTCTTAAATATTTGTTTTCCTTGATATAAATCAAAATTAACAATCAGTAATTAAGTCGAAGGACTTTCGCAAAGTTATGTGTTGCTGTTTTTTTTACCGAATGACTAGTTTGGGTATGCGCAAGTAGAACTGCACCATACTGCACACTGCTGCAATACAATGTGATACATTGTGATGCCTGCCAAATTGTCCAATCAAAATTAACTTAGTCAATTTTTTTTCTTAATTGAATTGAAAAACTGATTGAATACACACACTTTTTTTCATTTCATGCTTTGAAAAAAAAGTTTCAAAAAAAGAAAAGAGCTAGACTTAAGAGAGCATTTCTTTTATTCTCATATTCTTAAATATTTTGTTTTCTTTGATATGAATCAAAATTAACAATCAGTAATTAAGTCGAAGGACTTTCGCAAAGTTACTTGTTTCAGTAAATCTTTTTTTTTTTTATCGAATGATTAGTTTGGGTATGCGCAAAAGATCCAAAAGAAATGAACACTTCTTTTTTACTGATGAGTGGAATTTTTTGTTTGCAAGAGAATTTATACTGTATACCATAATAAGAATTTAACTGCATTTTATTGCACTGCACTGCAATGCAATGTCAATCAACAAAATGAAGTCCATTTTTGTTTTACGTTATGGTATTGAAAATAAGGTGTAAATGAACATATTTAAGTTCGCTGAATTCATTTACATGCGATTAACCTCTTTATGACCTGTTCAGAATCATACAAGCCACGTGGATTTGTATCGTTACGGGTATATGCCTTCAGTAAACATGCTAGTTCTCAGTTGAAACGTACTCAGTTTTATATCGATCAGCAAGGACTTGTTTGGTTCATCTTGTCATGGCTTTTATTGCCAAAGTTTTGTAAATAGAAAATTGTATTTGTAGTTGATTGTGAATCTTGAACATATAATTCGTCTTTGAAAGAAAAACATCATACCAAGATCTTCTTTTTATAGTATCTAATCTAAATGTCTCCGCACATTTCTATGTAATAGAGAAACCGTAGTCTGATCGGAGGAAAATGTTCCGGCATTTTTTTAGTGCGATAGGTGTTAAAAATAGGCTTGTATTTTTTGATATGTTTAATTATTCATTATAAATACACAATGTTTTAATTAGAAATACTTCGTTATACACAATGAAAACAATCAAATTACCGTATGCTAATATTTAACCGGTAAAAAAGGGTGTAAAAAGGGACCGCACTACTATACGTAAGTAGAATACTCCTTTCCTTCAAATATATATGACTTTCTTTACTGTTACCTGGGTCCGTGTTTCTTGCTGGGGGTGGGGTGGGGTGTTCCCAAAGTTATTTTGGGATAACAATTCAATATTAATTCATAAACTATAAAAATCCCGGGTAAGGGGGTTCAAGCCGGGGGAGGGGTCTTGAATTCCCACCCACCCCCGGGATGGGGGCACTTGACTTAAGCACACACTTCTGGAGAACTAATGTATACTAGTATGTACAGTCATGTTTGAAAAAAAAAGTATAATCAAAATTTTTGTGATTTGTGGATCTACATTATATTTAAAGTTCTGAAAATTCGATAAAATTCATGGAAGTGGTATATTTTGAGAATAGTCTTTCTTGTATGTTTTTCCAGTTTCCCTGTATGTACTTTCTCCATCAAAGAATTCCAGTTCCTTTAATGAGGACGATCACAAAACAACAAGACAAATCGTCAATGAACTTTACCCCCTAGTGGATGAAGAAGAGCTGAAGAGAAGTGTACACAAGGCTGTGTTTGATTTTGTGACATATGATGCTTCGAAGATCCCTGCTATAGAGAATTTCAAACCCATTCAAGAAAACACAGAGTGTATATTTGCCAGGAGGGCCAAACTTTGGGGTAATCAAGAATGGGACAAAGACCTTAGTTTAGGTAATTAAATGAAAAGCGAGCAATTCAATGATAACTATCATTCAATTTCTCCAATTTTGTGGTTAGGTTACTACATTCTTTCATGTATATTTACCCCCCCCCCCCCCAATACAGTCAATAGTACTGAAAGTAAAATGTTGAAATTTAAAAGTGTTTTCTGTGAAATATACATTTTGTTACTTTCTTTTTTTACAGAGGAAAATACATTCAGGTAAGATATTTCATTTTTCCATCAAAACAATTTTTTTCATAATCTTAGATTTTTTTTTCATATTATGTTGCTTTAATATATTTAACAGTTAACACACGCCTTCCCATAAAATAAATACAAGAAAACAGAGGTTATGTCAATTATGAGAGAGCAGCAAATTATTTTAAACATCGACACCCTCAGATACCAAAATGAAATATCATACACAATATAAGCTTGAGTAGAACTTGAACGAGTTCTCAGCAAAGTAGCAAATAATTTTACCTTGAGGGTAAAAGTCAAGGTCATATGTGGGTCATTACCCATTGCTTTATGCTAGTATATTCACACACCAAATATATAAGCTTAGAAAGAAAAAAAAAATGAAAATTGACGTGGGCATGCAGGTTTCCTTGTCCGAAAATCTGCCAGGCTGACCCTGTATGAGTTCCAATGTAAATGTCATAAGCGTTGTGACGGTATATGACAAATTATCTTAAGATGGATACCCCTACAGGTTGCCTATTATAAGCCGAAGTTAAAGATAAATTTAGAAAAAAGGATTATGGATTGGGAATTTTAAGTGTGTAGAAAAAAGAGCGATAAGAATCAATCATGCAAGTTTAAACACAATTTGAAGAAGAGTAGACATAACTCATACAGTAGTAGTGGGGTGGGGATACTAGCACACATCAACTCCACCCACTGTACTATATTATGTCTACCAGATATGTAAATTAAACCAAAAGGCTCAGAGGCTAATCCCCACCCACTGTACTATATAATGTTTACCAAGTATGTAAATTAAAGTAAAAGGCTAAGAGGCTAGCCTCGCCTACTGTACTATATAATGTCTACCAAATATGTAGATTAAGCCAAAAGGCTCACGTACCAACCCCGACCAGTGTACTATATAAAACATACAATCAACTGAAGGCTTAGTCTTAAACTCCACCCATCCCTATCATTGTTTATACCAATTATGTAAGTAAGTCAGAAGGCTCACAGGCTTACGCTATATAATCAACTGTAGGCTTAGTCTTGGACTCCACCCATTTATATTTGTGACGTAAAATAAGTTAGAAGGCTCACATATGTTTACCAAGTATGTAAATTAACTAAGATGGTTATAATATAAATAGGAGAACATTTATTTGATTTGCTCACTTCACCCATAGAACGGAGAGCATTGTCTTCTATGAAAATGGACACTGTCAGCGTCGTTTCTAATTTATTGGAGGCAAATTGTGATGATGAATTCAAAAAAACATTTCAGAAACAAAAACTTAAATTTGTTTTACTCTATATAATTTCAACTGTTGTTATAATACTTTTATGTGTAAATACAATACTTCTGGAAGAAGACCGAAGTCCAGAACAACAGAAGATGAGCGACTGCATTCAGTGGAAGTGTTGGAATTCTACAGCATCAGCCCCAAGATGTCCATATGTAGATAGTTATCCACTAGGTGATGAGATCTACGTTAGAATATGTCAGTTGGAGGATATAATGTCTACCAAATATGTAGATTAAGCCAAAAGGCTCACGTACCAACCCCGACCAGTGTACTATATAAAACATACAATCAACTGAAGGCTTAGTCTTAAACTCCACCCATCCCTATCATTGTTTATACCAATTATGTAAGTAAGTCAGAAGGCTCACAGGCTTACGCTATATAATCAACTGTAGGCTTAGTCTTGGACTCCACCCATTTATATTTGTGACGTAAAATAAGTTAGAAGGCTCACATATGTTTACCAAGTATGTAAATTAACTAAGATGGTTATAATATAAATAGGAGAACATTTATTTGATTTGCTCACTTCACCCATAGAACGGAGAGCATTGTCTTCTATGAAAATGGACACTGTCAGCGTCGTTTCTAATTTATTGGAGGCAAATTGTGATGATGAATTCAAAAAAACATTTCAGAAACAAAAACTTAAATTTGTTTTACTCTATATAATTTCAACTGTTGTTATAATACTTTTATGTGTAAATACAATACTTCTGGAAGAAGACCGAAGTCCAGAACAACAGAAGATGAGCGACTGCATTCAGTGGAAGTGTTGGAATTCTACAGCATCAGCCCCAAGATGTCCATATGTAGATAGTTATCCACTAGGTGATGAGATCTACGTTAGAATATGTCAGTTGGAGGGTGACATAACATTAGATATTCGACTATTCAGAGATAAAGAATGGACTGTTGATGGAATTCAACTTAACAAAATGCAGTGGCAGTATCTCAAAAACTCGGTGGATCATATCGATTCTTCGTTGTTGAAGACATCCGTTTGAAGAATTTCCATTTACTTGTGATGCATCATTAATTATAAGAATCACCCATCAGGAACACCGATACAGTATGAAACAAGTATATAACGCACTGTAATACACACCTGACAGAACAAACTGCTTTTCAACGATGGAGATCGAGCATAAATATTACGATCTGTTTATTTCTCTTTGTGTCAGCGCTATTTGGGATGCAATATATAGTATATCTAAGGAAAGGTGTAATGGTTGTGAAATAGAGCATCCGTCTCAAAAGGAACATTCATGTCTGATGGATTCAATGCACATGAAACTAATTATGAGTTTTGAGCTTGCCTATATGAAACTGAACATTCGAGATATTTTTCATATCATGCTGAGAGATCATGACTGTGATCGTGCAGGGATACAACATTTGTCTGACATTATGAAAACGTATTGCCTCACTGATCTTTGGAGGAGTAAGATATATTCAGAAATGGAAAAGAATGTAACATCATGAGTGAAAAAGAAAAAGCACAGTATCTTGAAAACTATTATTATAACATTCGTAATCCTGCAGCATACACAACGCCTGAAAAACTTTATCAAGCATTGAAATCAAACAAAGACTTTAAATTCAGTAAATATTTTATTTCAAAATGGCTGAGAAAACAGGATGCGTATACATTACAGCGGCAGATTCGTCGACCTGTGAAGATTCCTAATATTCGTGTCAGTGGTCTCAATGTTCAGTGGAGTATGGACCTTATGGACGTTCAAAACCTATCAAAAGAAAATGACGGTATCAGATTTCTGCTGATATTGATAGACACATTTTCTAAATATTTACGAATTGTAGCCCTTAAGCAAAAATCTGCTCGAGATGTTTTAAATGCTGTTAAGCAAGTCTTTGAATCTGGTGTAAAATGTCAGACATTAAGAAGTGATCGTGGAGGGGAATTTAAGAATCGACTACTAAAAAACTATTTGAAGAATGAAGGTGTCAGAATTTTCTTTGCCAATCAAAATTCGAAGGCATCTATTGCAGAGAGAGTTATCCGTACAATTCGTGGTAGATTATACCGATACTTTCAAAAAGAAAGAACGCATAGATATGTAGATATCTTATCAGATGTAGTGGAAAATTACAATTCAACACCACATAGAAGTCTTCACGGTTTATCACCAAAGGAAGTTACCAAGAAAAACGAAGCTGATGTGTGGGCGGGACTTTACTTGAATAAAGTTACAAGGGGTGGGAAACAGAAAACAAAGAAGACGAAACAAAGAACAGTCCGATTTCGATATAAAGTTAATGATTTAGTCAGACTTTCACATTTAAAACATATCTTTCGACGAGGATATAATCAGCAATTTACAGGTGAAATTTTCAAAATATCCAAACGGTTTCACCTACAGGGAATACCAATGTACAAAGTCATAGATTTTAACGAGGAATTGATTGAAGGAGATTTTTACGAAAACGATCTACAAAAAGTTGACAAAAGCGAAGACTCCTTATGGCTTATTGAGAAGATAATTAAGAAGCGGATACGGAAAGGACAGACTGAAGTGTTGGTGAAATTTGAATCTTGGCCTGAGAAGTTTAACCAGTGGGTGAAGGAATCAGATATCGTCAATTTAAGCTCAAAGTAATGGAAAAGTATATATTTGTCAAGTCGAGCGAGTCCATGGATTATTATCCTGAAAATAAACCATACGATTTCAAAATTCATCTTGACAATGCTCTAGATTTACACGGCTTTTGGAAAATTGGAATAACCGAGTTTTTTACACTGTCTTCAACGAAAAAGACAGTCATTGACACATTAACTTCAAAACCCATAACAACATTTCAGCATAAATCATTATTTGTTTATTCAAATGTGTGTGACTTTTCAAGTGTTAATGGTCATCAACAACCCCTGCTTCGAATCATCCAAGCAGATCCATCTTATGGTTGGAATGACAAATTTTATCCCGCGTACTACATTCCTCTTAGGCTCTCTCACCTTTCCGACCTACATTTGTATTTAATGGATGACAGTCATTCACCTGCCACATTCATTAATTCAGACGTTTGGATCACACTTCATTTAATACGATATCCATTTTAGGAATGGATACCAATAAAAAACTGTATGTGGCCGATCCTAAAAAATGGACAATGTTCTACATGCAGGTGGGCAAAGGTGATGTAAATCCGTATACCAATCATACGATGAAGGGATATCAACGAGGAGGTGGATTACGAAACAAAACTTCACCATATATGCTATCCATAGACAACTACACAAAGGGAACTACTGAGCGAGATGTAAATCATAAAATAAATGTGACCTCACCAGCTGAACAGGTAGTGGAGCAGGCAAAGAGTGAAATTAAGAGGGACAAAACTATTGAAAAAGGGAAGCGAGTCATGAAGCGTCACAGTCAGAAGTCGGACGACAAAAAGAGTGGACGTACAGCTAAAAGAAATAAAATCGTAAAGCTAAAGTCAGACGTATTCGGATTGTATTGAATCATGTCGATTTTATCTAGTGAAAGTTTTAGAGAAGCTATGCCTAGTCAACTTTCTCTGTTTGATCTACCACCCACCCAGACAGCAGTAGAAAACATTTACTTTCAAGATGTTCGCCCGATATCTCAAATCTCGGACAGTTCACCGATAGAATTTCAACTATCTGCACAAAATGGGATGGACTACATCGATCTTAAAAGAAGCAGAATTTATGTTAAACTAAAAGTGATGAATGGG